GCACTCAGTTTTGCTATCTGTTACCTATCTGTTCTGTTTTTTCACCATTTATAAAATGGTCTAAGTTCTATGTGAAAATTACCCGTGACGAATCTTCAGTCTGATCTTTTACACAGACAAAGGAAGATGAGTAGATTAGTTCACGCGAAAATTTTTAAAGAGACATGGAGATGAAAGCTTTTCAGAAAGGAAGAGGGAAAAGGTTGAAACGTTGAAAGTTGAGAAATGAATCATAGACTGTCAAACGGGTTTTCAAATCGTAATTTGAATTATATAGTTGAATTATATTTTGAAAGTGCTATCATAAAGCACGAGTAATAATGCTAAAATGTAATTTGAAAACACAATGAAACTGGGCCCAAGCCTTTAATTGTCAGTGGGGGGAAGTCTTTGGCAGGCAAAAAGTAATAAAAGATCCCGTGGTTGCAGGGTCCTTATGGTTTAAGTAATGCATCAACGGCTTCGATTTATTCAAAGGAACAAAAAAGCACGATTCCCTCCCACTTTTGAAATTGTGATTGAAATAGTTTCAAGATGGGACAGGTTTGCTCTAAGTTTACTTTGTTATTGGACGATATTATTCATTGGGTTTTGTTTGAGTTTTTTTGATTAAATTTTTATTTTTTATATTTTTTTGTTTTTAATAAATATTTTTAAAATTTTAAGTATTTTTTTATTTTTCAGATACACCTTATTTAGATGTATCTAAAAAGTAAAAAATTTATTAAAACATATTTTAAAAAATTAATAAATATATAAAAATACGAAAATGTAATGAATTTTTACATTTTTTTAGTATTTTTGGTATTTATTTAATTTTTTAAAGATTTTTTCACAAAAATTATACTTTTTAAGTTTATTTGCGTTAGGTGTGTCTAAAAATTAAAAAAAAATGCTTAAAATATTAAAAAAATTGTAAAAATAAAAAAAAATACGGAAAACAAGAAAGTAAATTTTTTTTAAAAGTGTTTTTAAAAAACTCTAACTAAGCAAAATGATTGGGTCTATATGATTTACTATAGATTTTTTTTTCGATAATTTAAATTGTTTAATATATAAAATTTGTTGAATATTTTATTTTTGTAAAAAAATACATTAATCAGATATTGATAGTTATTTGATTGGATCATATTTTTGTCAATAATTTATTTTGAAAATTATATTTATTGTTGATAGAAATTTAATTTGATCAAGTAGTAATCGATATCCGATCAAAGTGATTTTTTATAGAAATAACATACTTGATGATTTCTATACATCAAATGGTTCATATTATCAAAACAATACTCATGATAGGACCCGAAGAGACTAACGTCACACTCCAGTCCGATCTTCGATCTTGGGTTGGAGACAATGCTGGCCCCTTCAAGATATTTCTTATGTCTAGTTTGGTCTTATTGGATGTGTAATAAATTTAATATTTGGTTTGGTCTTATTGGATGTGTAATAATAAATTTAATATTTTGTTAGATGTTATAGTAGGAAGAAGTAGGTATCATAATGAAAAAAAGATACTATGCCTCCGTTTGGGAAGTGGGTTGACTTTTTGACTTTTTGGTTTTTTTGGCTATTTTAGCCTGGGCTAAAAAGCTTGGTTTGGGAAGGGCTTTTTGGCTTTTTTGACTTTTTTTGTGAGAGAAGAATGTAATGATTATAGGTTGGATGTGATGTTTTGTTTGTTATGGCTAAAATAGCCTATTTTGTTTTTTGTGGCTAAAATAGCCAAAAAAGTCTGAAAAAGCCCTTGCCAAACACAGGTTATATATTATATCCTTTTTAAAATCCTTCTTTGTAATGGATCATGCAGCATCAACACTCTCTTAACTTTTTGTTGGATGGGTATTGGTGGTGTTTGTTTGGGTTTTTTTGAGCTAATTTATGACTTATGGCTTTTGAAAAGTTATTTTGGATTGTTTGGTTAAACTTATTTCAAACAGTTTCTGATTCTAACAACTTATTTTAAGTCAAAAAAGTTGATTCTGAGAAGCTGCTCACCCCTTACTTCTGATTATCAGGTTCTGCTGTGGACATGTTAATTTACGGTTATACTCTTAATTTTTTTTATTTTTTATTTTTTTAAAAATAGAAAAAGACCCAAATGGAATATAAAATATTATTATTATTTTTTATGAGAAATATAAACAAGTAGTGAATAATAAAAAATAAAAATTAATTGAAAAAGCTACTTCACAGCTTATTTAACAAACACTACTCAGTAACTTAAATCTATAATCCAACAGTTATACCAAACAGATTAACAACTTCTGATTAAAGTCATAATCTATAATCTATTAAGCTATAATCTGTAATCTATTTTAACAACTACACTAAACGGGGCCATTATAGTGAAAAAAAGTGAATGTCACAGTAGAAAAAAAAAATATTATAATCATTTTAACCTTCTTTGTCATGGAATATGTCACATACAACGTTAGCTGTGTTTCGTTGAGTGTTGCAATGAAAAAAAAGTACACTATAGTCTATTTATAACCTTTCCTTGTGGTGGAACAAACCGCGTGCCACATGAGCCGAGTTTTGAAAAAAAAATTTAAATTTTTAAATTTTGTTTGGTGGTATATTTTGAAATAATTTTGTAATTAGAAATTTTGGCATTATTTAGGAAGTTGGCTATTTTAATTGGCTATTTGACTATTTTAGACTAATTAAAATAGTTGTGTTTGGAAATATATATATATTTTTATTGATTGGATGGTTATGCAAGAAAAAATAAAAAATGATTATGGTTGAATGTAATATTTTATCTTATTACCTATTTTGATATATTCTGTCTTTATTAGCTATATTAGTTAAAAAAAAAGAAAAAAAAAGAAGGGGATATGCGATTAAAAAAAAAAAAAGTGATTGAAAGCAGTTTAAAAAAATTTGTAAACTAAACAAATTTTAAGTTTTGAGCTCTTAAATTTTTTTTTGTAAAACTAAACTATTAGGTCTTTTTTATTGGCAATCTCATTTGACAAAACTCATTTCAATTGTATATTCGCTTTGTGAGTTATGATAGTTTAGATGCGAATGCAATCCAAGTTGTGCCTATATAGAGGATTTTGTGCTAATATTCCGTATCTTGACTTGAGCATTCCTTGTTTGACACTTCATTGACTAAGTACAGGGACTGAAACCAAGAAAGAAGTCAGAGTTGATTAACCGCTTGAGCGATTTTTTGTACATTTGAGCGGTGAAGTAATTCATCTAATGTCTCTGCATGCGTTTTGAATTTTCTGGAGACAATTTTTACTGCTCGAGCAGTTGGCCTATAAGTGAGCACCACCTTTAGTCACACTGTTCGAGCGATTTTTATGGCTCTATTTAATATAAAAGTGTATTTTTGTGATTTGTAAAGTTTAACTCGTCTAGATTTTAGAGATGAGTAAAATACAAAGTGTTTTATATTTGAGGATGTTTATACTATGAGTTTCCTTGATGTATAGAAATTGATCGATTAATTAACGAACTACATATTGACAAATATCAGAGGTTATTTTTGTTATTTCATTCACAAAAGGAGAATGGTGTTCATCGGTGAATTCCGAGGAATTTGAACCTAAAACTTTGGTAGATTCTGGAGTGACTCATCATTGTGGATTCAATATCGGCGTTGTGGACTTAATGTTGGACAAAGCAATTTCGAGGTGAAGACGGTAGTAGAAGAGACACATCGAGTTTGTTTCATTTCAGGAGTGGATTCGATAGGTAATTGAGGGTTACTGTGTGTAATTTCTTTTTGTCATTTTAATAGATTGTTTTGTGGTCTTGACTTGTAATTTTTTTATCACAATTAAAGGAATTTAATTGTGATTTTTTTCACATTAAATTGTTGTGCCAATTTGTTATTGATTGTATAATCAAGATTGCTATTAATTGTTTAAAATTGAATCATAATCACAAATCAATATATTTGAATTTTTTAAAATTTCATAAACCAAACAAGGCCTTAAAATATTATTTAAGAAATAAAAAAAAAACACTAATCTACTATAAAAATTGAGTATAAGAGTAATGCCGGTCTGAATGGTTTTTGAAATAATTATCAGCCTATCTTATGAATTGGTATTATAAATTAAAAAATAAAAAATATAATTAGACTATTTACATTATTCATATCATATTTAAATATAAACTAATACAAATAAATTAAAAATAAATCAAAATTTACATAAATTAAAAAATGTCCTTCCCCTTGTTATTTTGATAATTTTTTTTATATTATTATTAATACCGAATGATCATTTCAAAATAAAAAATGATTTAGACCTCTAAAAGAGGAGTTCTAAATGAGTATTAAATTGTCTTTTTTTTCTTCCTGATTTGTCTTTTTTCCATTTTTTTTTTTTTAAAAAACAAATATGGTGCCAGCTCACTAGAGCTGCTCTAAAAGTTGGTCATTCTCAAAAGGAGAGGCAAAGACGTAAGAACAAAACAATCATGCTAGTGATCTCTAATTTGGTGGTTCTAAACCCACCACTAATGAGGAAAAAAAAAAAAAAAACACACAACACATACTGTGGCAGTGGGCCACTGCCATATCATTAGTGATGACTCCAATTAGAACTCCCACTCATTTCGCGAAAAAAATTATTCAAGGCTATCCAGCAATTGGACCTCTCAGTGATTATCCCATAATTTTTTTTGCATTTCGTTTGTTGGGACAAAAATAATATTAAAAATGTTTAATATAATGCAAAACAAAAGTCAATTGAAATTTTTTTTTATAGTTAATAGAAACAAACCTAGGCAAGAAATATTTTACACTTTCAAAAAGATAAATTTTTCTTTTTTATTAAAATTTTACGAATATTACCTCAGCATTATTATCACCGTCACCTCCACTTAATTTTTTTGAAATTTTTTTTGTTAAAATTTTTGTATGTTCAAACGGACGGATTTAAATTTGAATCATTAATTTAACAGAAAATAAAACAAAAATAATTTTAATCATTCGAATTTAAAACCCTCACTTGAGGACTATAAATACACATCACTTCTTCATCTCACAATCACCCACAATCACCCATTGTAAGAACCGGAATTTCAATTCCAGAATCCAAACAGAAGCCAAGTGAGAAAATCTCAACTCCAAAATTTTCTCGTGCAACAATCATTAATCCTGTTCACCACTTTTCTCTGTCGTTGAAAAACTAGCTCTCCCAATCAGCCCTCCCTCTCATCTCTCTAGCCAGAGTTTCGAATTTGTTCTTCAATTCAATCTCCTTCCAAATCCTCTGAAATCTCAACTCCTTGTTTTATTTTTTCCCTGGAAACAAACAGAAACCAACTATGGTTGAACCTTTCTCTGAAGTCCGTCTCCCCCCATCCGTCCAATCGATGCTCCAGAAAATCTGTATCGAACAATGTCAATCGCCTCCAGATACTTCGGTCCGAAAACAGCTTGAATTGCTCGGCGAAGAAGTGTCTCTTGAGATCCTCAGAAAAATTTCCACACACAAAATTTACAAAACTTTGAGTGGTTTCATAATGCATTTAGCCAAGAACTACGCTAGAGCTCCTACTCAACAAGGCATTTATCAATCACCTCATAAACGGAGCTCAGGTGATTGCTATAGTCCAGTGAATTCACCAAGTAAAATTTTTTTTTTTTAAATTTTTAAGTACTGTCTGTTGGATTGGAGTTTTGCTTACTTTTGGGTTTTCTGAACTCTTTTTTATACAGTTTAGCTCTGTTTGTTTTCTCGGAAAATAAGTTTAATTTGATGTGATCCCGCCCGGAATTTCTTTGTTATGATGATTGGAGTTTTGCTTACTTTTGGGTTTTCTGAACTGGTTTTTATACATTTTAGCTCTGTTTGTTTTCTGGGAAAATGAATTTGACGTGGTCCCGCCTGGAATTTCTTGTCTAAAGTTTGGTTAGGAGATTAGGATGAAAATGATGGAAAAGGAAATGGAAAAAATATATATATATATATACACATAGATATATACTGTTACAGAGACCAAATTTGCCTACATTTCCATAGTTGGGCTGTTCATAAAAGTGACCAACCCAGACCGACCCGTCATGCTGCGGTCAATTTCGATGCCTGCTTTGGTCAGAAACTGGTGTTAATCAGTCAGGAAATCAAGTCTCAGTTCGGGCATTGGATTTAAAACCTTTAATCCGATTAAAACCCTACCGACTCGAGAAGATGTTTTAATTAACAAAATTGAATAGCTTTGAAAGTTTCCAAGGTCATGTCTCTTCTCACATTTAATGCATCTCTTTCGATTAGAAAGTTTCAACATACAGCAGCATTCCTCCATTCCATCATTCAAGAGTCCTTTCATCTCCTATCTCTCTCTCTCTTCTCTTATTTTTGTTAGATTTTCCTCTTTTTACTCTTATCAATAACTCCTCTTTTTCATCTCTCTCATTATTTACGTTACTCTCTCATATATATATATATATATGTATATATTACTTCATTTTTTTTTTTTAAATTTTTAATCAAACGGAGCCGTTAATGCGTATGTTGAGAAATTGGGTATATTTTAGCATCTTATGCTGTGATACATATATGCATGCAGCATATATATATAATATATATTATATAAGATGGTGTTTGAAAAGTAGTTGTTTTTATTTTCCGTTGTATAAAAAAAAAAAGAAAAACTCGGCCGGGCGTCTTGGTGTAGCTCGGTCTTAGGCCAAGAAGACATCTCATATTAATTTTTTAATTAACAAAAACTCGGCCGGGCGTCTTGGTTTATTTCTTTCCCCTACAGAAAAGTAGTTATTTTAATTAATTTTTTAAAAGAACGTGTAGACTGTCGTGATTGGGTAATTTTGGCCATTCCAAACGGGAGGCATCTCAGTGTTTTGACCATTTGTTGCCAAAAATTTCCCACGGTTTCTGGTTTTTCTTTGCAAGTTTGTGGGCACATATGCATTTGTATAGAAATTCGTGCTATAGTGAATGACATCAGGGACACGAGACAGAGGTTTCAAAAACCTGTTAAGCTTATATGCACGCATCTGGATCATGTGTTGTAATTTTCATTTTTTCTTTGCATTGAATGCACTCAACTGTGATGAGTCTCCCTTTGTTTTGGATACAAATTTGAGTAAAACACAATTTGGTATTAGTTTGGGTCTAGGGAGTGGAGGGTGTTTTGAGTGATTTTTTTAACAAAATTTAAATTTGATGTAGGTTTGAGTCAAGTATTTTATATCCAATAATGATTTATTTTTCTAATTTTGGATTTTTAATTGAGTACTAATGAGGCGAAAATTTTTTAAAAAATAAAAATAAATCTAAGACTGTTGACTTTTTTAACTTTCGAAGGTTAATAATGGGGGTGTTTGGAAACCTAATTTTAAGGCTAAAATAGCTTCAAAAAAAAAAAAAAAAAAAAACCTAAAAGCCTCTAAACCAATGGTTAAAAAAAAAAAAAAAGTACAAAAAAAAAAATAGGCCGGTAGTGGGCTGTCAATGTGACAGTGTAGGCATAGCCTACCACTGTCATAGTGACAAATTGGTAAATTACAATTTTGCTCATTTAAATTAATTTTGAAAAATGTGAGGTTAGGGACAAATTTGTCATTTTAACTTCAAATATTATTTCAACACATTTTTCAATACACCAACTCAAATAGAAATCCATCCTATTTTCCTAAATACAAAAACTAAAATAGCCTACTAACATAGTCAAAAAGTCTCTAAAATAGCCACTTCCCAAACACCAACAATGTAATTTTAAGCGTGCCAACAAAGATCAATTAGTCTTTACAGAATATTAATTGCCAACCAATTATCAGACGATTGTGTTTTAGTTCTCTCAACCAAAACGACGGAGACTTTTACTGGTGGCTTGTTTTAGGAGAATTTAGTAGATAACAATAAGTGAAGAATAATTTTAGAATTTCATTAAGTAAAATGAAAAACTTACAATGACCTGACCCAGTCTCGTAGAGGTTTATAGCAACAAACCATTTGAACCTACTCTTAGGAATGAAGTGCAGTACAAGATTTGAAGTGTAGAAATGTAAAAAACTGTAAAAACTAGGAGGAAAAAACGTAGTAAAAAAATTGGTTTTTTGATTTGAGTCTGGATCTTTCATTCTGGGGCCTTCTCTACTATTTATACTTTCCAATAATAACCGTCAAAGTGGGCTTTCAACTGTCGAAATGTCTTCTAATGATTGCTGAACATGATCTCTCACAGTCAGTCTCACTACGCCACTCTTGCAGTTAGGCTTCCCTCTTAATTTTGAATTTAAACTTTGTGAGTAATCGTTAGGCTACATCATCTTGTATTTTTCTGCTGATTCTGTACTCTGTAGATCCATGAAGACTTGAATTAACTCTCCATTTTGCCCTCATCTTGTCACGTGTTAAGTTGTGATTGGCCTATACAAAATATGTAACCAACATTACCCCCCGCACAAATATATCCAATACTTGGTGATATTAGTAAACTAGTGCAATCCACCCATGTTCTAAGACGTGCATGTACTCTGTGTATTCTGGTAGCATAATCGTTTTTGAATAATGAAGTTGTGAACTTCATTAAATCCTTGTATCTTGCACTTCCATTCTTTGAGTAGACGAAAAGACTGGTACATCCCCAATGGCCAATCACACCTTCTCCTACATTGATCGAGCATACGAGTCTATGGAAGATGATTACAGATCTTGAAAGAATCTCAATGCATTTATTGATTATATCTATCCGCCTCCATTTATACAAATTATGGAAGCTTTTGCAATGTACTAACCTTTAGACCCAAAGTTTGCCAATTACGAACCCTTGGATCAAGCATTTGCAAAAATGGATCTTGGAAACTCTTCTTCTGCCTCACCATCTTCTGCATGGGACACAGTTGAACCTCTGCCCCACCACCCTCTGCATGGGACACAATTGCTCCTTCTTCCTCCAGGTCTACTGGCTGGGGAAGCTGGCCAGAACCTGATGAATCCAAACTAAGAGAGCGAATTCACAACCGATTCGTTGAATTCGCTGATCCTCGGTCTATCCCTCATTTTGCTTGGAGCTCGGTGGTTTACCCCTATGTATCCATCGATCAGTGACGCAGTCTGGAGGACAACTTACTTGTGGTGTGGTACACATCTTCCATGCCCGCGAAGATAGTGCGAGCAACTCCTCGTCCAGAGGAAGTACAAGGATACAATCTGTCATTCTTGGCCAAGAAGGCAAAACTTTGCTCTTCTGACTGGCTTGAATGTGTGAATAATCCCCAATTTCTCTCTTCCTTCGGGATGGACCCTATTGTGCCTCCTTTCCCTTAGAATCCTCACTGGATGGAGGAATTGAAACTTACTCTCTTCGAGAATCATTTTCTTCCTTTCTACCAACCTCCAGATTTGCCCACTACATTTGAGTGATATCAAGCTCAACTTCTGCTTGCAACCTTTTCTCACTTGTCCTTCAATGTTCTTAGAGATGAGACTTCTCTCAAGAACTTTCGATGGGCCTGTGACATTATGACTCGGGGTCATATTCTCAACCCCATTGCTCAAGCAGAACTTCAGGTTTTTTTGGATCAACACAGGCTTCTTCTCCATTGGTACCACATTTCTTTGGCTATCACTAATTCTTTGGATAAAATTTCGGCCAAACGAATTCAAACCCAGTACGAGGCAGAGAATCTTATTGACGAATATAATGACTTTAAGAGTAAGGATTTTGCATATTGGGATGATTTAAAGATGGACGAAATGGAACAAGGATTGAAGGAGATGGAGTTCGAAATGAAGGCTGAACAGCTTTTTCATCAAATAAGAACATATCAACTACAACAACCCAGCTTAGATAGGACAGAGGACAGAATAAAGAAGGAACATAAATTCATTGACCACTGTTGGGACAAATATTATGACATTGCTATTCTTTCTATTCCTTATTTTTATGAGATTGAATTTGTAGTCAAGAAGGTTTTTTAATGTAATTATTTACATATCAATAAAACTAGGTTTTCTTTCTTTATTCGGCATGGTCTAGGTTTGTGTTCCAATTGTATGTTTGGTTGTATGATTGATGTGACCGTGCTTCTAACTCAGAAGCTACTATGTTCACAAAAAACTTCGTACCAATCAAACTTACTCTCAAAGTGTGGAAACGGAATTTTGTCTGTAAAGAAGACAACTTCTGCCCTAAGCTTCACATTCCAATTATATAATTAACATAATTTGCATAACCAATTAGCTTCGAAGAATAGTCTATGAGCTTCGAAGTATGGAAACTTCCCTTAGGAATTATACTGCGTACTTTTTAAAGAGTAAGCCCTTTTGGGTTTCTTCACTACTTGACCAAATACTGGTTTTGCAACGTTGAAGTATAAAACAAACAAATTCTAGCTGCAGAGCACTTCAAAGTTTACTTCGAAGGATTTTATCTTTACAAGAAACCTAATAGCAAGTCACCGATCCCTTTGAAGCAGACAAAACCTAAGTGTTCTTATATTTTTAAGTATGAAATGTGCTTCGAAATCAGTTACTTGCTCTTAAAGCCTTAGTTGATCTTTTGACATCTGGGTTTGGAGCCAAATCTTGACTTTCGAAGCTAAATATTTATTTTCGCAGCCAATTTGATTGTTTGAGATATGCCTCCCGTCCAAACAATCAACCTTGAGAGAGACTTTTGGTGTTGCACTTTCAAGACCCTCACAAATTTTAGGACAATCTTAAATTCATACGGGTTCCAACATCAGCCAAACAATCTATCTCGGGTCTTTTTACCCATTTAGACAGATGGGGCATCTTTCGAACAGAAAGGTTTAAAACCCTCTCCTTTCGCGCTTTCATCTTACTCGTTTGCCGAAAACACAAACTCTTTCATTTTTACTGCACTCTCCTCCTCTTTACTCTTTTCTCAGCTTCATGCTCGAAAACTCTTGCTAATAGCTTCTTCCTCCCTAAAAGTAATAGTTATGGAGCGCGTGAGTCCATCCTTGGCTTTAAAGAGGTGTATCGATGAAGAGATATCCAAGCTCAGAGCCGGTGAACTGAGTGTCATAGATGGTCGCCTTTTTAGAACAACAGGAATACGTCTTGGGACCCATCTTCAGAGAAGCTTCAGTTCAGCTTCTTGCTTTGTATCCTCATCTAGAAGATCATTGCCTACTCTACGAACGGGGTTTTGATTGGGGAAGCTGGAGGTTAAACTGTCCCCACCGCTGCTGGCCTACATTGAGGGTTGAATGGGAGGAGTGGCATAACAGAGTTGTGCCAGCCAAAGAATTGGATCTACAAGAGCTCTGTATCCTTGATGCCCTCCGCCTTTCCAGGTTCACTATCTCTAAGGATACTTTCTTGATTCCTGTAGCTCTTTGTTTCTAGAATTCGGCTTTTAATTTTTTCCAGTTTCAGTGTGGCATGATTGCCCCTACCGTTCTTGATATTTGTCATTTCTTAGGGCTTTCATCACTTGGTGCTCCCTTTACACCTGATTACCTAGACCTTCCCGTCAATTTCACCATTCCACCTTTGAACTATTCCTTTAGTGATTTTGTAAAATTTGAGAACAAGAAGGTAGGTCTTGTAGGTGATCGAGAGTTCTTTTCCTTCATTCTATATTGGTTATGCAAATTTCTTTTTTGTACTTCATCTCAACGGATTATGCCTCAGTTTGCCCCACTTGCCAAGACTCTTGCTTCGAAGAAGAAGATAGTCTTCGCTCCTTATGTTTTAGGCCATGTTTATAGGTCTTGTTCCCAATTTTGCTAGAAGCCTCTAGATGTCAACCAAGGAGGCCCTCTATGGGTATTACAGCTTTGGATCTTTGCATATTTCACTAGTTTACATTCCAAATGCTTGAGATTTTTGGTGCAAGAACCCACTACTTATGAAGAGAAATTTGCCAAGATTTCTTTATATCCCTCCAGCTTTGTCTACTATTTTTCTTTTTTTCATCAACTCCCAATTTCTCCACTTCCTTCCTTTTGTCCCTTCGAAACCAGCCTGGCCTAGGCCATTTTTGGCTGATAGGGAATGCTCCAATTCATTACACAAAGATATGTGGGCCTCAATCTTGTTGCCAAGGGAGCTTTTCATTGGTACTTTGAATTCTCAAGCTTACAATTGTATATCTGAAGTTTACTGCCCTTCCTAATTTGCCAGGCAATTTGGGCTTATTCAAGGAATTCCTGTCTCTCTTTGTAGCCACTGCAATACCAATCTCATAGTCAAAGACCTGAAGGTATCCAAAAACAAATTGGAAGAAGCAACATTCAAATTGCTACAAGAGTTGAGTGAGTTTCAATTCACCCCCTTTACCCCACATGGCATAGCTTCCAAAAGATTTCAAAATTGGTGAACAGCCAATATGGGGGTGCTCTTGGCAATACCTCCCAAAGATCTGTTAGTGGGACTAAATGTGCCCACTCAAGCCAAACCCAAAAAGACTAGACCACTATTACAGTTTTTATTACCCCTGCTATCCTAGCTCTTGCTTCTGCTGTCACAGAGACTACTCTTGCTACCTCTCCTTTTCCTAGAGTCTCCAGGGCTGTTTTGAAGAGAGGCACGCATTTTCATTTTTTCCTTTCTCTTCTCTATATGATGTTTATAATGCTGTGTTCATCTACTTTATGGCTTTCTTTTTTCTTTTCTTTTTCTAATGCAGGAGCTTCACAAATAGAATCTCCTCAGAGAGTTCAGGCTTTGAATGTCCTCAAAGGCAAGCAACAACAACAACAGAGGAAAAGAAAACTTTTGCTGGATCCTGAAGAGGAGACGCCTGAAACTCACTTGGAAGATGAAGAAACAAAAAAAGAGAAAGAGACACCATTGAAAAGAATGAAGAAAATGACAGTTTTTCCCTTTGATCTTATTGGGGACTCTACTCATGAAGCAGCTGCCAAAGCAGGGGAAGAGGAGCACTCCAAAGAAATCATTGTATTTCAGAGGTCTGAGAAAAGGAGACAGCAACAAGTACTAAGGGATGAAGCTGCTGCTGCTGATGCACTCCAAAGAAAAGCTGCAAGGAGACAACAAATTACTGAACATTATGCCTTTCGCAGTTCTCCAACCATTGCTACCACTTCTGAAACTGGTAATTTCCTTTCGTGTCTCTAGTAATTTCCCTTTCCAAGTTTTCAGTAATGAAACTTAACATTGCTTCATATTTCTTATTTTGCAGCAACATCTATTCTACCTCCTCCTTTGATAAGGATTTCTTCAGTCTTATCTAAAGTTCAAAGACTATTAGAAGCACTCTTGAAAAGGAGGAAGGAAATCAACACTAAAGTGCCTTTAAGTGTAGAGCCTATCCAGACAATTCTTTCACTTCCTGGTTCTACACTTTTCATACCTTTTTTGAGGCAAAACAATCCTGTATCTCTATCCTTTAGCTTAACTTCATATCTTCCTCATCTAACCTTTACCTCAGCCCAATTTACTCTTCCTACAATCTTGGCTGCTCCTTCCCTACATGAGGAGATCCCAGTTATCACTTCATCTCCAGCAATAGTTGATACTCCCAGAGAAGATACTGGTAGCTCACCAATTTTTTGTCCACCATCACTATCCAGCTCCAGCCCTTCTTCTCTTGACTTACTGGTAGCCAGGACTGTAGACACCACTAGGGACATTTCATCTTCCTCTCCTATCCCTATACAGCCATCTCTTCCTTTCAGTAGAGACTTTTCTACACCTCCAATGTCAGTGGAAGAGATGGACATTTTTGAAGCTAGACTGGCTAGCCTTTTTGATATATCTCCTACCATTCCAACAACCAATAATGAAACTGAGCCATTAATTCTGGCTGACTCTTTTTTGGAAATTTTTGAGAGCTCTTCAACTATCAATAAGGCTTCCTTACCTCCATTGGACTTGGGCACCTGTTTGGAATTGCTGGCATTATTCTCAAGGATCCCATTCGAAGCCTTACAAAGACCTATCATCAAGAATGGTTTTCTCCAATGCTGTAAGGTTATTGAGCAATCCAACATGGCTATTTCAAGTCACTTGTCCCAGGCAGCAGCTACCATAGATTTTTATGTCAACATCTGCCAAATTGCCAAGGCTGCAGAAGAGAAGGTATTAAAAGACAAGGAATTTGTTTCCCATATACATGCTGAGGTGTCTGAATTGAAAGGAAAACATTCTTCTGCTTCTCAATTTCAAACCCAGCTCTTGGAGAAGAAGGCTCAATTAGAAGAAGAGTTGTTAGCGGTTAATCTAGCTTTGGATCGAACTGCTACAAAGCTGCAAATCACCAATCAAGGGCTGGCTGATCGAAGGCAAGACATGGCTACTACCATTCAGTTGTTCCCATCCCTTAGGAGTAGAGAATTAATTGTAAGGGAACAACTGAAACATTGTATTGATTTTTGGGCCAATTTATGGCTGCATGTACTCAACTCTATATGAAATGAAATCTTTATTCATTATTTGAGTGTTTTTATGCTTCTCTTGTTTAGCATTTTCTATACGTCTTGTGTTTCTCACACAGTTGGATAATAAGGCTTCAAGTACCTGCCACTAATTTTCTTAGAATGCACATATCCATTCAGATTTCTCAAATGGTATGTTCTCCCAGGCAAGACTCTATGAATTTGATATGGACCTTCCTAATTAAGTGACCATTTGCCAAACTTATGGCTTTTAATTCCTATTGAAAGTATTGTCTTCCATACCAAATCACTTTCATCAAAATTAATGTGTTTAACCTTCTTCTTATAGCTCTTGGCTACCTTTTTCTTTTGGAACAAAATATTATTTAATGCAAGAATTCGAGCTTCATCTATACTCTCTAATTCTAAAAACATGCTTTGATGCAGTGTTTTTTAAGGCGAAAAGCAAACTGAGGCGACAAGGTCTGCTAACGCTTAAGCGCGAGGCGACGAGGCGAGGTGAGGCGAGGGCTTCATCAAATCGAGGCGAACACAAAAGATATTTTTTGTAAAATAAATAGTATAGACAAAAATACAAATATTTTCAAAAACTATCATGCATTTATCATTCTAAATACTAAATATCCTTAAACAACACAAATTATCCAACAAATCTAACATTCTAAATACTAAATATTCATCAAAAACATCAAACCAATCAACCATCCCAAATAATTCTTTCCCCTTCTTTAATAAAAAATCAATGCAATGCTTTAATAATTTTTATTATTCTTTTTATTCAATAATGTGACACCTATCTTATTATTAAAGTGAATTATATTTTAAATTTTAAATTTTTATTAGTACACGACATATTAATTAGTAAGACAATGCTATAAAAGTTATTAGTCTGTATAATATTTTTCAGCAAAATAATTATATAATTAACACAACAAAATAATTATACAATTGTAAAATCAATTTAGTAAAATTAATTGAAAAAATTTTCAGCAAAATAAATTGAAGAGAAATAGAACAAGAATTAGGGAAGGAGAAAAAAAAAAAAGCGAATAATTTTTTTTGCTAAGAGATGAAATAAAGGAAAGAAGAAGAAGAGAGAAGAAGAAGAGAAGAAAAAAAAAAAGACGAAAAGAAGAGAAGAGGGAGAAGATGAAGCAGGAAGAGAGAAGAAAGTAGGAGAAGAAGACTTACCTTAGAAATGATGTCGAAGATGAAGGCAGAGCAGGACCAGGTTCGTTTCTCTCCTCTTCTCTTTCTCTGCTTTTCGTCTCTCTCTTTTCGATACCCCAGAAACTAGGGTTTTACACTCAATAAATAGTAGAAAGCAATTCTAAGGTGCACTGCATGTCCACAAATAACATAAAATCAGGAAAATGAAGGGCCCAGATCTTAGAAGCAAGAAACGATGCTTTGTTTCGCCTTGCGCTTCATCGCCTAAGCCTCGCTTCAATTGCCTCAACCTCGACTCGCTTCGAACGCTATGAAGCGCAATAGCTCTCCTTACCTCGCTTCTCGCTTAGGCGAGCGCTTAGGCACGCCTTTAACAACACTGCTTTGATGGTATTCGAGCCAAATGGCATGCCCCTTTAATTTAATGATTTTTTTATAAGGGACACGGCAGGGCTCACCTTTTTTTTTTTTACCCTTCTTTTACCTCTCTTATTTAGTGCTTTTGTAAAAAATATTGTTGGATGTTGAATGTTTTCCCCTTTTCGTCTTAGTTCTTATTATCGTTTATTCTGACTTTTTTGTGAATGGATGATCTATTAATTTGTTTAAATGTAGTGGTTATATTTATTGAATTAATGTTACTATATTAGTGTTTGTTAATTTTGATTTACGATGAATGTAATATGAATCTATATAACACATAAAAATATATATATATAAAAAAAAATTCGTCATGTCTCCCGCTGTGTTCGTGTTCATGTCCGTGTTTTTATTTTTTGGAAATTGTCGTGTCTTGTGCCAGTGTTGGTGTCAGTGTCAATGTCCGTGTCCGTGCTTCACAAATGGCAACAGATGACTGAATGCGCTAAGGGGTGGCTTAGTAGAAAGTGCGTCAGAGAGGCGGCTTAGGTGGTGCGCCAAGCGGACGACTTGGGTTGTGCGCTAGATGGGGCGGCTTAGGTGGTTCCCTTCAAACTCAAATAAGTTTGAAGATAGAAATCTATTTGAAGTTGAAATAGAGGGAAAGACAGAGTGGAACAGAAACACACACAAAAAAATGGATTGCAAGTAAAAAAAATATGATAGAGCTATTTGGGATAGAAATAAATTAGTGGATAGAGGAAGAAATCACCATGAAGTGATACTAAAAGAAAATATGACAATGGAATGGATTGAGGTCTAGTGGGCGGTCAAGGTAAGGTTGTCGCCTGTCGGTGAAGCAAAATCACTAAGTACTTAACTTAGCTTTGATACTAAAAAAGAATGAAAAAAATTAGTTGGCTTACCCATGAATGTTGTAGAGACCATGTATATATAATAGATTTATGATACAATTTAGGAAACAATATAAATAAGAAAACGTTATAAATAAGGAAACAATACTAAGGGCTTGTTTGGAGTGTTCTAAATAAGTGCATTTTTTGAATTTTTGGTGAAAAAAGTAGACAGAAAAAAGATGTGTGTTTGGGATAACTTTTTGTCTTTTTACGAAAAAATGTGTATTAAAATATTGTATAAAATAGCAAAATTACATTATTACCCCTATGTCCTAGACTCAGTGACAGTGCTAATTGAAGGATAGTACGGATTGCCTTGCAAATGGTGATAACTTCAGAACATATATATATATATATATAGCATGAGGCTTCACGGGTGCTGTTGGGCCCATGGAGGTCCACTACGGGTCCCGTTTTGATAATTCGAACGGATCAATGTATAGAACTCATCGAGTACTATATGCGTGTAAAAAATCACGTTGATCGGATATCGATAGCTATGTGATGAAAACAATTTTGTATGAAAAAAATGGACGGTGAAAAATAAATGACTGACAAAAATCGATTTGATTACATAGCGATCCATATTCGATCAACGTGATTTTTTACAGGCGTATAATACTCGACGAATTCTACACATTGAATGGTTCGGATTATCTAAATGGAACCCGTGGTGGGCCCTCACGAACCCAACAGTACCCTCCAACTTAATGAATATATATATCTAATTTGTAATTTGTATCATCACAGTATATGTATGTAATTTTCCCCATCACTTCAGTACCATCACCTGTGCGAAGTTGGATTTTACTTTTTTTTGTGTAAATTAATTTTTTTAATTTGTGAATAGTGATAATTTTTTTGCTTTTTTAGTAACTTTTTGCCTTCTTTATAACATGCCAAACCAGCCCTAAATCAGTAATTGACACAATCACAGATTATATACATAATACTAAAAATAATTTTTTTTTATGTACTCTAATTTCTATATTCAACATAAACCTGGAGTTTAAGTGCTCTTCATTTGTCATTAAAAAAAAAAAAATGCTCTTTAGTCACTTTAACTCTGACTGTTCCACCTTGGTTGGTGTGTATATCCTTGCTTGTTCCATCACAATTGAAATATCCTTGTTGGTTTGACAAGATAGACTTGCATCACTTTTCTTACTTTCTAATAATGGCTGGCAATATAGTGTGTTTTATTTGTGGTGTATTTGTAGATTATCGTTTGAGATTTCTCATACAAAATCTTAGTGTTTATTCTATTAAATATTTCAATTGTGACGTCCATTGCCTTTATAACTCAGGGACTGTATTTGAACAGCACCAGAACTCACCTACAAAGGGAATTAAGAGATCAGATTGTGCTGATTGTGAAGTTTGTCGAAGAGACCACAAGCTGTAATAATTGGGTGACTGGTTCTAGTAATTATGATGTTGCATTCAACAAGATTGCTGAAGAAGGAATTCTTGTTGGTCTGAGGCGCTTTCGATTTTTTGGTGATTTTTCTTTTCATGCTCTTGATGTGAAGCATTTCAAAACATCAGTCTTGATTTTCTATGCTAAATTAGTTGGGACACATTGATTCAAGCTATGATGACCATAGTTTGATTTGTACTCACTGTATTTGTTATGGATTCAAGCTAACACGTTCTTTGTTGTTTCTTTGTTTTTTTTCCTTCTATGTTACATGGACTTGGGCACGAGTGTTAGGTGCGAGTGTTTGTCTAAATTTATGATTCATATAATCATACGTTTAGAGTACTGTTTTCTGATTCATATAATCCAACCAACCATCTAGTTCACAGAAGGGCCTAAGAGTGATTTACCTAGGTTTGTTTTTTCTTTTCTTTCTTTCCTTCTTATTTGTTATTTATTTATTTATTTATTTTAAATTTAAATCATTTTATGGGTCTTCTTAGTAAAAATATGGAAGTGAATTTTACAGGAGGGAGTAATTGTCTCATTTATTTTGAAGATCTTGTGCTTCAACGGATCCTTGTTCATGGTCCTCCATTAAACTTGTAGGATTGCAGATTTTGAGTTGTTAACATTGGGCCTTTGGCAGCCTGATTGTTCTTTGTGCATTTCTTAAGCCAGAACCAATATTTTTGGCAGGTCACTAGTGTCCAATCTTGAAACTAAATGCTGTCTTTTTTCTCAGTTGGTATGTTGCCTGAGACATTAACAAAGTGATTAATTCTACTGTGGAAACCAGAATAACTCTGAAAACACATAATTTTTTCCACGCATTTTCTTGCTAATTTATCAAGAGTCCCAACATGGTGATTTACGTGTCTCACTCTTGTTATTGATCAGTGTTTAAAGATGGAGGCAAAGAGGAGAAGAAAAAAAGTCCAACTTCATCAATTGTAAAATGCTACTTTGTAAGAATGGAGTCTCTTGCTCCTTGCGATGAGATAGAATCTTACATTTTGTCTAAGAGAACAGTCCATGAAGCAAGGTGTCTCTTCATGCATGTACAAATGGTCTCTAGCCTCGCAAAATATATGGCTAGGTATACTGCCTAGACGTTCTTGTTTGTTATCCATATACGAGTGCCATTTTATGAAGTATGGAGTTTCTCTATTTTGAAATATGGGGTTTCTATACATTGTTGAGAATGTAGGTTTTCCCTTATTTTATCAAAGACGACAAAACTTCAAGTCGATCTTGCTTCCATCACTATTGAAGAAATTGAAGATATTTCTTGCCGAGCATAATCTTTCGTCTCATTTCTTCATTAATATTCACTTGCACCACCATGTAGATCTAGGCTTTTCTTCTTTAATCCATTTGTCAAGCCAAATAATTAGTGTTTTCTTAAATTATAGGATGAAAATAGGTGTGTTGTCTATAATGAAGATGGAGACCCTCTTATATATACTAACGGAACTGGCTATATTTCAGAAGATATTGCATTGAAGACTCCCAAAGATTTTTCCAGAGCAAAGTTTATAAATGATGAAAATTTTGAGGTTAATGATTTTGACTGGTTTCTCTGAGCGCATATTTTCTAGTGCATATGAATGTTTAATAGAGAATAACTTTTTTTTGACTTTATCTTATTTTGCATATCATCTGCTTCCACCTTTTCATTCATAAAGCCTTTTAGCCTTGTATTTGACCAAAATAGATCTAGTGACTCCCCCTCTTTGGTGCCTCTCTCAGTTAAGTACTTAGTATTGCATTAATGTTTGACAAGTAAACTTTTCTACCATTTTGACCATATGTTTTATTACTAGTTTGAATAATGCTTTGATTGCATCACCGTTTAGTTGGTCATTATACATACATTTTTGTTATATGTGGAAAAAGAATTCATCTTCTCCCTTTCTTTCTTCCCTTTTTTTAATGAGTTACTTCAGCAAGAAGATGCTGTGTGAAAACTTGGAGTGCATCTTTCTCATTGTGAATTTGATGTAATTTTAGTACATTAAGATTTTGTCAAATTATGATCATGGTTTTAAAAAGCGGCCACAACTGTTACGTAACACCACCCATTGCGGTGGTGTGACTGAAATTCATGGCCATAATAGCTGCCATCGTTAAGTAAAGGCCGCAACGGTCATAAGACAATTTTTTTATTTTATTTTATAAATTCGTATATAAGATCATTTTCTTCATTTTTCTTTTTTCTAACTGTTAAAATCAAACAAAAAACCACATAGAGCCTGGGCAAAAAAACTTAGATCTACATGTTTTGAATGTCCGATCTTCAAGTTTTACTTGATGAAGCCCAGGACCAGAAGTATACCTGTCCTCAACTTGCAATTCTTTTGGAAAACTACTTTTTCTCTCCAAATTGTTAAAGATGCCTTTTTCCCTTTTTCCTTGGTCTATGTCTCAATGCATATGTTATCATCACTAAAAATGAAAAGAGAATCTGAATTTGTTTTTAGCAAGTTGCTTGCATTACTTTCATTTAGATTAGCCGTGGTTTATAGGGGTAGAAGCAAGTTGCTTGCATTACTTTCGTTTAGATTAGCGGTTTACAGGGGTATATCAATGGATGTAGGGACATATTTGGCCCCGGCTTCATGAATTGCCAGGACTGTTCAGTTGAGATTAAATCTTAGTTGGCCCTTATCTCATTGAATGGGAGCTTTTACAATTTTAATTAAAAAACCTAGGGCACACTTCGCCTTAAAATCTAGGTATTAAGGAGAGAGAAATTGGAATTTTATAACCAGCACAGATGGGGCAACTCCAGGTGATGTAGGATATATTCCAACACACCCTCTTGGACCACAACATACACTAAGCCGGACGAACGGCACATCAATCACAGGCCCAACCAAGCTTTGATACCAAATTAAAAAGTCCAGGCTACACTTCTCCTTAAAACCCAGGTATTAAGGGGAGGAAAACTGGAGAACATACGGTAGCTGGACAAACAGCACACCAGTCAAAGGCCTAACCAAGCTCTAATACCAAATTGAAAAGCTCAGCCCACACTTCTCCTTAAAACGTAGGTATTAAGGAGAGAGAAAATAGAACCTTATAACCAGCACAGATGGGGCAACTCCAGGAGATGTGGACATATTCCAACAATTTTAATGTGTTTTTATCACCTAATTTTTAATAGCCCCTTAGAAGGTTAGATGAACATGATGTTTGACTTGGTTATGAACCTTAGTATCAATTGGCTGTTTGTTTCAGAAATGATGTTAGAGACAATACCTACTATTTTTTGTTGTGGGAGAGAGAGTTTACTTTGATATGAAGATATGGGAAGCCTCCAACGTCTAGATTGGACGACAGTTATACTCGTGTGCTTATGTCTAAGTTGTATATGTATGCATGAGCCACAAAGAGAAAAGCTTTGATAGGAAACTCTAATTGTATAGCAAGTTTCTTAATGAAACCCTTAACACCATCATCTGCCAATTTTGTTAGTGAATAATCGTGGACTCTTGAAGTATCCAAGCAAGGTTGAGATTTGTCCTTGATGGGTTAGGGGGGCAAGAAAGTCTATATTAAAAATGGGTTCCATCTCTAATTTCTACGCTCTAATTTTAGATTGAGAAATCCCCATTATTTCTCCTAGCTAGGAAAAGGGTGTATATTGAAAGAGTAGGTTCTGGTGGTTTGATAAGAGGTCCATTTATTTGTTAACATTGTCCCCGATTATATAAATATATAGTAATAATTATCGTGTTTAATTTTCATATGGGACTATAATTATTTAAGTTACTATGTTATAATTTAGTCAAAAAGAGGGACCACTTCAAATGGATGCTTGTTAGAATCACATTCTTGGACAAGCTAAGATGCATTCCCCTCCTTCCCCCCTTCCTTTTTGAATGGCAGAGTCACAAATTCGTTTTCTCCCTTGATACCCATGATTTAGTTGGAAAGGTTCTGTTAAGCGTTGTAGGCTAATTTTATGTGTATATTGTTTGCTTTGTAACATAATTGGTGCGATATTGTTTTCCCTTTTTCAGAAATCTTAATGATCTTGAAGTTAATGAATTTGCTTCTTTGTTATCTATCCTTGAAGTGTTTCTTTGAACAATTCAACCAAATGACAAGTTGTGGTAGGATTACTCCACCCATGTGATAAATGTGGGCCCTATACAATTATTAGGTTGGTTTATACATGTATTTGGGTAGGGATAGTAGAGTATGGAATCTACTAGGAAACCTAATATATGTAGAATTTGGTTACCTCATTATATAGAACTAGGATTCTCATGGGTAGACTATTATAAGTAGTCATGTGGATTATAGGGTTTCTTTAAGAGAGATTGAGAGGTTGAGGTGAGGGAAAAAATAAAGATGTAAGGCATGAGACAAAAAATACGATGGGCACCAAGGTGAGCAATGAATGAACTACTCTTGAGCACAAGTTTAGGTAGTGGTGTAGGTTTTGAGTGTTTTGGTCATCTCACATGTAGTCTTTATTTTGTTCATATAGTGGAAGCTCTCACTCCGGTGGATGTATGCAATTTGGGCCGAACCATGTAAATCTGTATGACTATTTTTCTCTTTGGTGTGTGCGTGGGTGTGCTTCCTTTCGCGTTGGCGAGATATGATATAAATCCCAACAAGTTATGGATTCTCATTCATTGAGAGTGCTTTCATGTAAGTCCTTTTCTGATAAGATAATTGATGACCCAAATGCGCTGGTCTTTGATCATCATAAAATGATTTGGAGTGCAGATGAATCTGGAAAGTTCTTTTTGCATGGATTGTGGCTCAGAAGATACTTAATACCAACGATTATGTTTATGAAAAGGAGACCAAATTGCTATTATATCCGCAATGGAGTCATGTGTAAGAGGGATGTAGAGAGTATTGATGACCTATTTTTGCATTGCCTACTGATATTGGCCCTATGGTGGAGAGTGCTTGTTGTTAGGGCTTCTGTCCTAAGACAAAGCCTTGGATTCTTTGGAAATGTGTTATTAGGTTGGAAAGCAACTTTTAGAGTCTTTGAGATCAATTAGAAAAGATTGGGCGCTTATGCAATAATTTTTTTGTTTGGCTACTTTTTCAACTTCAGTGCCTTGTAGTTTTAAGGGGATTCCTTTATTTTTAACTAGTAGAGATTGGGGAACCATGTGTGATTTTAATTTTTTTGGTTTTTTCCCTTTCCCATTTGGTGGACTTCTTGTCATCCTTGCACCTTTTGCGTGTCTCTTTCTTTTCTTTTGTGATAATCTTCTCTTTGTCATTGATAAAAATATATATATATATATATATAATTGTATAAATAAAAAATTTGCATGACTGCATTTACAGTTTCTTAAGACTTTCTCAATGACAGATACAAATATGGAAAGAAGGTATCAGTTTATTGCTCTACAAGATTACAATGGAGAAGGTTGTTAATATGTTTTAAAATAACATCCAATGAAATGGTGATCAAAAGTTTGTTGTTTATGTTTGATAAACATATATTGCATTTTCAATGTATGGTAGTGTGTGTGGATGGGTATGGTGCACATAAATCATCTCATGCAGCAGATATGACATTTTGTGCCTGCTGTGTTTGTTTCTATTTTATGGCTAGTTACATTTACTGTATTTTCTTGCTAAATCATCTGGATTCTAACATTTTTAAACTTTAGAGTTTTCTTGATCACGCCAATTGTGAGGAGAAATCACTGGAATTGAGAGGGTCGGAAGCTCATACCAGGGAGCCGGTATGTCTTTAATATTTGTTGTATGTTAATATGTTATTGATGATGTAATGTTTTTAATCTTTCTAATTAAGTTCTTGGACTTGTCATTTGCATTTTTTGCAGCCTTTGCTGATGCAGATCCGTTTGGTTTACAATGGACGTGCTGTCAAGGGCACCCTTCTTGTCAATAGAAAGGTATATATTGCCAATTTTTTTGAATGTATTTTAATCTTGGCATGTGGACATATTTTAATTCTGGTGGTGCTGGTAGATTCTGGCCTTGTCAAACCTGATTTAGTTCCTAACTTACTTGACCATCCAAATTGGCTGGCAGCAATTGTGATGCTATGAAAAATTGAAAATATATAGTTATAATTTGATATTTTATTTTTGTGGTTGAGGATGTTACATGGATAATTTTTAGTTACTATTTTCTGTTTTTTATTCATTATTTGTTATTCAATTTGTGGATGGAGAACTTAAACAAATGAAATGAAAATATTATCATTTCTGCTTATCTTAATAGTTATACTTTTCCCCTGTCTTCCATCCTCCAAAGGCAAAAATCCTGGTTCCGTCCCTGTTTTTTACTTCACCCAAATCAAATGAATTATAAGGAATGGCAATTAGACTGGGTACCAGATGCTGCCACCCCTGCCATCTTTACCCAAACTTGCTCTGCTCCCACTATGTTTGAGCTCACCCTGTTTTGGCCCATAACTATTCACGGATTTCCTTATCTTTGTTGCCCTCACAACACAAATTATTCCTTCATATTTTGCACCACTTCACATAGACCTGATTATTATATACGAACTGAGATCAAATGATTGTGACTGTCAAACATGATGTCAGGGTTATATAATCTTTAGAAAGAAATTTGAGAAACAGAAAACCAACCATTTATCTCACAGTGTGCTTTAGTGGCAATAGAGTTGTTGATGGTGGAGGAGAGGTGAGCTGTGGCTAACAGGTTACAGAAAAATCAATTAGTTTCCTTATGTTCCAAAAAGGAAGAGTTTGTTGTAAACATTTTGTTAATCACTGTATTATTGCTATTGACAATATTCTCACTTTTGAATTACAGGTTTAAGTTTTTGCCTCTATTTTTTTTTTTGTTTTTTATTTTTTACTTAAAGTTTTTAAGTTGACAAATTTCCTCTTAAATATTTGCAGCTTCCAGAAAAAACAATTCAGGTTATGTCTTCAATGATAAAGGTTGAGGCAGATTCAAGACTCTCAAATGTGCAAACTTTTAACTCACTGGAGATAGTTGGAATTAGGTATGTATTTTTTTTTGAAAATTGACTTTGTACTGTGGTCATATATAATTCGAATGTCACTTGTTAAATTTTCTTAATTCAGTTGACATATTGCCATGAGGTTTTCCTTTACGACCACCAAATATGTATGAACACTAAAATTAAGAAGGATTCTTGGATGTGGAATTTTTTGGAAAGCATATACACAAATACATAAAAAAACACACAATGAATCAGACATTGTTGGGCTCATTTCTTAAAATCTTAGGCTTTTTGGAAAATTTGTGACTTAACAATCACTATGTCATGTACTAGTGGCACTTGATATAATTAGTTGTCTTTCCTTATCTTATGTTGATAAATGCTCTACAGTTTCAAATTGTCATTGTACTTGAGTTAGACCAGGAAATCTATCTAATTTTTATGCTCACAGAAACTATATAATTTAGATACTGCACACAAGAATGATTAGTATTGCCAGTGCGCTCAATGCTTGATTTATTGTTTATGCAGTTTGGTGGCTGCTTTGAAAATTCTTTTTTGTTTGTAGTTTATTTGTGTCATATATGTTACAAACTCTATGCTAGTCTTTAAACTTTGAACCATATTCATCATTAGATTAGAGTCTTAAGCCATCTGCTGTGTACTAGTACTGCATAAATCTTTGTCCTTGTTTAATTCCAAGATTTTGTTTTCTTTGAATCTACCCTGGGGTCAGGAAATCTGAGTGGAACATACATGCATTAGGTTCTCTGTTGTAAATTCATTTCTTTCGGCCTTTAATTTCCTTTTTATAGTTTTGATGTTTTTCCTATGGCCATGGTTGGTTGTATCATTGTATGCTTGGTAATTTTGTCCGTAAGTTTTATCCTATCCCACTGTGTCCCCACTCCCCCAATAGGATTGAGTTGTCCCCCATTTGTGGAATATAGTGTTCAATCCAGCCACACTACCCCGTTGTCAAGTTATGCAACCAAATGTGGTATAAATGGGTCCCATGTATAACAAATCCGATCGCGCCTCTTTTGTTTTGCAACCAAATGTGGCCTATATGTTGTCACTGGTCTTTGAAGTGATCTATTGTTGTTTTATTTTGAATGACAGATAATGTTTGCACAAAAATTGACGGAGAAGTTTATTTTATAGCTTGAGCATTGTCTAAGATTGTATAATTGAAATTTGTTCACAACTGAATGTTTTTGGTTGCATTCTTCAGCTGTTGAGGTGTTTCAAACCGAGTAATCCTTGGAGCCGTATCTATTCAACACCAAATGCATGCAACACAAAAAAGCCCAGTGAGCTTTCGGCTGAGGAATTAGAACATGAGCTTTTTCAGCTATTCAGAAGAACAAGGTTTCAGCGAAGGTTTGCAAATGCAGTTCATTAATCTGAAACATTTTGGTTATGCATAGTGGGAATTCTGTTTAAGGCCAAAGTCATTTATTGTGGCTGTAATGTGTATATCTATGAATTGAGCCTACCCTTGTGCTGTGTTTGAACTATTGCTTGTATCATATCATTTCATTTTGTGATTAATTGAACTTTTGAATGTTGTTATGAGCATGCTACATGTCTAGTTACTGGTTGACCACTGAATTAATGGTTCAACATTTTGTAAGGTTATTTCTTTGGGCTAGGGTATTTTTGAATTTTATGGTAAAGACTCAGAAAGTTATTTGTTGTGTGTTGGTGTCATAGCTCCCGACCTCCAGAAACTGCAAGTTTAGAACATGAGCTTTTTATTTTTATTTATTTATTACAGATTGATTTTAGTGGATTTTGCATTCGTGATGTAAGAACTTTTGAGGTTTACCTGTATATGAAGCAGTAACCATCAGGCTATCAACATCTGCTGTAATCTGTGGTTATTTGCTAATGATACCTAGTTATTGTTGCCTAGTCACTCATTGAGATGGTCACAAGAAGCTGACTGTAACCAGCCCGCGGGGGACCTCGCTACAACTCGGACTCGATTTGTGTCACGGTTCTAAGTCTGAACCAAAGAGTCCAAATCCGGCAAATCGTTTTGAGAAAAACAGATTTTTTTGAAAGAAGTGCCAAACATGGACTGCTTTGCCAGATACAGAGTCGCCACCTAAATGTTTTTTAATGGGAAATTTAGGAAACCCTGACTCGTTTGCCTAAGGCCACGTGTCCGTCATCACCAAAGTTGCCTCGGCTCGGGAACTTGGGTACGATTGGGGAAGGTCACTTCGTGAGCACCCCCGCTCGCCCGGTCAGAGACCAGCCTCTACTAACCATGATATCTATTTTTGAAAACTTTGTGTGTTCTTATTCCGGTTATTAGCCTAGGTTACTATGTGATGCACACAGCATATAAGTATAGACTGGGTCGCCCGAATTGGAACAAAACATTTCATGCTTGTTTATTTGAAAGATGGTTTCCTACTCGCAAGTAGGCTTAAAATGCAGATTTTGCCACCCGCAGGTGGGCTTAAGAAGAGATGGTTTTGCCACTATCTAGTGGGCTTAAAACTTACAGTCAATGATTTGTTCCAATTTAAACAACCCAACCTTCACCCACAGGCATTCAGGCAGTTATATCACATAAGCGTATTGCCTCATGGTAAGCATGCTATCATGGCATTCACTCACACGCATGCAAGGATGCTAAAGCATAAAGCTCACCGGGTATTCCAAGCCAAAACAAAAACTCATTAGAAATCATGCATGAACCCTAAATACACAGAAATGCCTAATGCAACACATGCAAAAATGCAACTATAGCGGGCTCGGCTATTCTAAACATGGCATATGGAATGCTACAGCTAACATGTATTCAACTTGGAAATTGAAATACAAATGCAGTTAGTATGATGCGCCGAGCCCGGTGCATGCAAAACAGATGAATGATGCAAACATGCTATCATACTGTATGCTAATTGAAATATGCCTTAATCTAACCATCATAAGCTGGTAAATAAAAGGGAGAAAGATGTGGGGTTGGAAGACATACAACACACACATGCACACTTATTACAGTTATGCCCCCGCGCAGAAGGTCACAGTCCCGAATAAAAGAATAGTACAGTCCAAATATTACAGTCCAAATAATATACAAATTCCTAATTAATTAATCAAATTAACTAAGAAAGCTGTAAAACTAGCGTGCAAGCCAGGGATTGCCTTGCTCCTGATGGATGATGCATGTCTGGGCTGCCTTGCGTGGAAATCCACTGGGATGCCCCGATTAGCCTCTGTTTTGTGATTTTTCTTGGAAAGCACGCCAAACTCCGGAAGTTTGCTGATTCTTCATTTGCTGCAACAGAGAGCAGGAAAGGGGCATAGCAATGTATTTTCACAGATATATGCATGCCTCGATCCTCGTGTCACCAATCACGCGTATCGATGCATGATGGCAGAGGAGTCGAAATGTGCAACTCAATATGGAATGAATGCACGTATAAACACAACAAAACCTAACTCCATCATGGGTAATTCGGAGTGTCGGTGACTTGGAATTGAGACACGTTCCGTCACTCGGAGTACGAAACGTACCTCGTTTCCCGTGCCCGGGCTAACTCCTATCCCGAACATGATGCAATATGCATGATATGCATGAATGCAACTAAGATACAGCCTAGCATGCACAATGCTATGAAAATGAGACGTCTCGAAATGCGTGCACACGGGCACGCAAACCGAGAAAATAACATAATGCGATCTAAGATACAACCTAGTATGCACTATGCCGTGAAAATGAGATGCCTCGAAATGCGTGCACACGGGCACGCAAACCGAGAAAATGACATATGCGATGCAAATGGCATGGAAATGTGATATGGGCTTACACTAACATGAGAGAGCCTCAGCCACGCTCACATAAGAGGCCGATGGATGAAAATGAGGTGCCTCGAAATGCGTGCACACGGGCACGCAAACCGAGGCAATGGCATACGCAATGCAATGGCATGAAAATGGCATATAGAATGCAACATGGACTTATACTAACATGAGAGAGCCTCAGCCACGCTCACATAAGAGGTCGATGGATGAAAATGTGGTGCCTCGAAATGCGTGCACACGGGCACGCAAACCGAGGCAATGGCATACGCAATGCAATGGCATGGAAATGGCATATAGAATGCAACATGGACTTATACTAACATGAGAGAGCCTCAGCCATGCTCACATAAGAGGCCGATGGATGAAAATGAGGTGCCTCGAAATGTGTGCACACAGGCACGCAAACCGAGGCAATGGCATACACAATGCAATATGATGGCAAATGATATGCAAACATGCTAATGAAATTTCGGCACTGAAATGTGGGGGAAAACCGCCCCGAAATGAGGCGAAAACACACCCGATGCATGGAATCTCTACCGAAATGCGAAATTAGACACATAGAATGAACTACAGCTATACAAAGCATGCACAATTGGTACATGGAATGAAAAGACAGAAGCAAGGAAGCCCCGAAATAAGCATTTTTACAGTTTAGAGCATGGCCAAACAGCAAACATAAATAGGGCAAAACTAGTATGCAAAAATGACCCTAAATATGAGGTAAAGAAGCAACTCACAGTTGCTGATCCCAAACAGGTTAGGGCCCTTCAACAAAGTTGAAGAGGGGCCCAAAACATGATCTTTTTCAGGACTGTAAAAACCCTAAAAACAAACATGGATATGGCTAAGCTCTTATGTAAGAAAATGGGCCAAAAGGTGGCCAAAGAGGCAAGTGGTATATGCACAGCCCAAACTGAAAAATTCCCTTCTACAACATTGAAGAGGGACCAAAAATAAGCATATTTACAGAACTGTAAAAACCCCAAAATAGTATACAAACATGCTAGAAATGCAATGCAAAATGAGGCTCAAAAGAGGCTATAACACAAAGTATGCAAAATATTCATCAAACAAGCAAAGACCCTTAATAAAACATATTAAGAAGGTAAAAAGACATTTCTAGGCTGTAAAAAGACCAAAAACAGAAGCATGATAGGCTGCCAAAGCATGCAAAAATGGGGACCAAAGAGAGATAAAACATGAAGTGGCACATGGAGGTCTAAACACTGATGAGCCTTCTTCATGTTGAAGAGGGGCTCAAAATAAGCCTATTTATGTTCTGTAAAACGCCCAAAAATGGAAGCACACTAGGCTAGTAAATCATGCAAGAAAATTGACATACAGGGGGATATTGAAGCAAGTGCAATATGGGGGCCTCAAACAGGGTTGAGCCCTTAATGAAACAAGAAAATGAGCTCAAAAAAATGACCTTTTCAGTTTTGGTCGGAGCTCAAATCAGTAAGCATGTTGGCTAAGAAATTGGTGCAAAAATGAGCCACAAAAGGGGGAAAGTCTACTTACCCTTGAAGGCTTGACTTTGGTTGCCTCTTGGCTTGAGTTTGTGGCTCCTTAGGCCTTGGAGAACACCTTCAAACTTCTGGAATGGAGGATGGAAGGGTGGGGGTTGGTGGTGTAGAAGAAATGGTGATGTAGGACTTGGAGGTTTCCAAGGAAATGAGAGAGATGGAGGGGGATTTTGTATACCAAACTTGAAGACCAATTTTTCTAACCCTCAATACCAATGCTTGCAGCTGGTTATAAGGACCAAAAGGAGGGGGAGCATGGAAGGAAAGGGTGGGGAAAAGGACCAAGGCTTTCCCCCACAAAATATCCCCCGGATACAGATCTTTTCTGGGGAAAAAGGCTATACAGCTGTAAAGTGCATAGTGTGAGGAACATGGCCGGCCCATTTTTGGTGTTGCAAGTGGCCGGCCGGCCACCCCCCCTAGCCGGCCGGCCAAGGGTCAAAAAGGCCAACTTGATTCTTTGGCCGGCCACCTCATATTGGTGGCCTCCCAGGTCCCCTCATCACAACCCTGTGGTTTGAATTTGGAAACTCTAAAACAGGAGAGAGAACAAGCCATTTTCAAGAGGGGTTCAAAAGGGTCAATGGGAGTTTCTGGCCGGCCATAAACTTTTAGGGTCCTCCCATGTGTGTACAATACAAATATGTGGTTTGGGATTGAAGAAAGTGGCCCCAAGGTGTTCAACATTGGCCCGGAAGTGAAAAAAACGGGCGTCGGAGGGCGAAAATAGAATATAACTGGTTGCCAAGATAATTGCTGGCCTCCCACCCTCCAGTGACCTTCCCGGTGATGAAACAGAGGCACCTGCCAAAAATGAACGAAAACCGATGCAAAACGAATGCTCGGGGGCCAAAACACGCAGTTCGGGGTCCCGAAAATTGCCTGTTAAGCACCGAAAGTGGCGTTCGGCCATGAAGTGGGTTTCTTAGACCCCAGTGTCCCTTGAAAGGGAGAAAATAAGATGTGTGCCAAAATTTAGAGCAAACGGAGATGGTTAAGCGGTCCCGAACCGAGGCACACGGCCTGATGGCTCCGAAAACCGGGAACCGAGCTCCGAAATGGGCAAAATGGCCTATGGCCACAAAATGTAGCCCACGGCCACTAAGAGATGGTCTACAGGACCTCTCCCTCCCTTCAGGAAAAGAAACAGAGAAAACCGAGTCTGGTTCGCAAACCGAGGCAAGGCACAGAAGAGGGTTCGAAAGTCCGGAGGCGAGGCTCACGGCCGCGACTCTGAAACTTCTGAACGAGCGCGATATGCAACATCACTAAGCGCTTAATTGGTGACGTCTGAGTCTTAAGGTCGGTCAAAAATGGGGTATCTACACTGACATGATGTTTTATCCCCCAAACCCACCTCCACCCCATATATTCTTTGTAATAATATTGGCTAACGTCATCCTGTTCCCATATGGCACAGGAATCAAGTCGCCCTTAATTAAACTACTTGTGACTTGGCTGGATAATCTGGTCTCAGATATGCTACTTCAGAGCAGTTTGAGGTTGAAATAGATTATGGACTCCTTTTTATTTGTAAACCATCTCTGTCCGCTAAAGTTGCTAGTGCAGGCTCTTTTAAGCAAACCGAAAGGCTGTACCCAGTGCACAAGGCTCCCGCTTATAGTGGAGTCTAGGAGAGGTAGTAGGTAGGTAGACCTACCCTCACATTTTTGTGGAGAGGTTGATTCCCGTGACTAGAGCTTGTGCCATTGCACTTGGAGTGGTTAGCATAGAACTTATCATTGCTCCAGGACATGACCTCTTTATTTGAACAAACCTGTGTTGTGCTGTTGATTTATCATAACGAGAAAGACCTAAGTTTTTATCCATGTTGCTAAGTTTTAAAGTACTTTTTGCTATTCCAGTTACAATATGAGTGTCGCTGCTGATAGTTGGCTGGCATTTGTGGATCAGCTTCTTATATTGGGGGACAGCAGTTCTGTTGAGAAGGACCGCATGAAAGAAACAATGCACCATTTGATTGATATATACTGTGAGGCTTTAGATGCTCCCAAGAGTGGGAAAAAGGTTAGTTTTGACAGTTCTATATTTTCTGGATAAAGATTTGAGTTTTGGATGTGTTAATGGTCTGGGGTTCCTGTTTTACTTTCTGCAATTATGGTGCACTTGGCTATGACTTTTGCAATTCTCCTATGCATACTACTAGCAATTTGCCCCCTACATTTCGGTGTCAGACTCACTTCAATGCTCTTCCTTTTGTCTTGAGCTGTATGTGGATTTCAACTTTCAAGGCTCCTGCTTTTATGGTATAGATCAGGTTACTGTCAACCAGCTACAAACACTGCTGAAAATGATTATCCTGACCATCCTGACCATTTGTTTATGGTTATAACAATAAAACAAAAAGGGCTTTGAAATTAGGGTCATTATCTTTAACATTTATGTGAGTGACAGGTCATGCCTCGAAATCTTGGTTATGGACCTGATAATACTAGTGCTGCCTTGAAATCTTGAATAGGCACAATATCTGCTCTGCCTTGTGTTGGAAGTGTGATACTTATCTGCTTTTGCCACTGCTCACGGGCATATTAGATCCTCATGATTTTGAGGTTTCATAGGTAAATAATGAAAAGAAGCGTGTTATGTGGAGGATAGGATTCTATTAAGTGGAATCGATATCTTAACTGGGCATCTCGAATCAGTATGATAATGTTTGACCTTAATTAACAACGGGATTCTAATAAAGAGAATATTTTATTGGTATTGGAGGTGGTGCTTTGGGGTGTAATTGATGGTTGTATATTACATAAAGTTTCAATTTCAGAAGATTGGTTTAATTATGATCTTGATGTTGGCAATTCTTTCCTTAACCTTCTATTTTTCTTTTGAAATAGGTTGTAATTCCAGACGAAATTAAGGCAGAAAAATTTCCACATTACTTGGGAAAGCCAAATAAGTATCACTCTACTCCTGTTTTAGGACTTATTTATGAGAGGGTTGAGTCATTTCAATCTCAAGATCTCTCAGCAAAAGGTGAGAAGTCTGCCAATCATCCTTGCTGTAACGCCCTCAAAATATTCCCATAAATCATCCAACAATAGCATGCTTAGACATAAGAAAATAAAGCATAAATATATTCCATCAGAGTAATCATTACAAAATGTATTACATGTTGACAACAAAAGTAAATGCCCTATGGGCTTACAACTTTTCAAGTCAACACTTGGTACAAAAAGAGAGTACTAACTCTATACAAAGAAAGCCCTTGGCTTGATATACATGTAACACATCAAAAGAAAACAAAACAACAGAAACAGTCTGTCTGCCTCTAGCCTCCCAAGCTATGTTCTTGGAGGTGGCATGTTACCTATACCTGAAAATGATGTCCCATAAAGGGTGAGCCACAGCCCAGTAGAAATATACTAAACCAACTATAAACAATGACTAAAATAATAGCATTCAATAGATAGTCCACACTTATATTCCAACGTATGTCATATTACAGTTTCACGACAGTCATGCCCATAGCACACTTTAGTTTCCATTTCTTATTCAACTTTGAGTTTGAAAACAAGGCTTAGAACCTAGCCAAATAACTTAATGAGATTAAGACTCATCTTTAAAACACTTTCGAAATTCATGATGGATACACATTTTGGTGCTGTATCAATAACACATAGAAATACTTCTATACTTCACAATTGATAACGATATACATTTTAGTGCTATATCAAATCAATTCAAACACTTCCATAATCCACACTTGATACACATTGTAGTGCTGTATCAATGTCACACAAAATCCGGTTTAGAGGTCCATCTCCTATCTTCCCCTAAACCGTGGAGTACATCCCCTATCTCCTCCCACACACAATGTATATAAATAAAGATCATATACATAATCAATCAATACATAAAGTTATTGTATTATCCCAACCGCTATACTCGATAGCATACTCAATCAATTAGTTTTTGTTTGCCTAATCATCATGCATTGTCTACAACAATCAAGACTATCCTCCATCGATAGCCCAAAGCAGTTATTTCTAAACAGAAAATAAATGCACCAAATGGATAAAATATCAACATTTCAACTAGGTGAGTAATAAACGATCCAACTACACCCTTTAATCCCATACGATCCCAATTTCAACATTCTCAATTCAACTTCTCATTTCTCAAAATTAATTTCACAAATTAATTCATCAATGTAATTAGGACATTTCCCATAATTAACAAAACAAACCTAAGGTTCCATTTCTATCAACAACCCAACATTTATCTCATTTCTCCATGTTAAACATGTATATAGGCTTATATAAATAAAACCCCATCTTTTTGTAAAATTACACAAAGACCCAAACTTTCTCAAAATTACCCAACAATCCCCAACATATCAAAATGCTAAAATTTAAAGACAAAGCTCATAAGGAGGAGCAGGATATCCCTCTCTCGAAGTTAGAGCTCAAATGGAGAAGGAGACCGAACTCAAAGTGCTCCAAATTCCAAACCTTTCGGATCAAAACGAAGCCCTCGACGATCAACACACCTTTTGCAAAGACAACAAGGTAGTGGGACACTCTAGCTAGATCAAACCCTAGAGAGAAGGGAGATTCTAGAGAGAGGAGCTCTCAAAATCGATTTGGGAAAGTGAGAGAGAGAGAGAAAGTGTAAAAAGTGATTCAAAAATGCCCAACTGCCCACTGATATACGACACTCTTGCTCGAGCGGAGAATAGAACGCTCGAGCGTTAAGCACACAAATCTGGACACGCTCGAGTGCAACAAGGCCCGCTCGAGCTCCAAGACACAAGAACAAAATACATTCGCTCGAGCGCGAAAACCAGTCTGCTCGAGCGTAGATTTTCCCCTCCCAGAACTTTCACAGATAAAGTACTACCCGCTCGAGCGCCAACATACCCGCTCGAGCGTGAAAAACACACCTGTAGAAGTTTTCCAGGGACACGAGATACTGGGAGTGTGTAAATCCCGCTCGAGTGCAAGAAGGCCCGCTTGAGTGGAAAACCAAAAACCAAACTCCGCTCGAGCACAGGATGATCCACTCGAGCGTAACATCAAAAACCTGGGCAACTATACTTGAGACCAAAACTCAACCTACCTGTTCAGAACACGCCCAACACATTCTATAACTCAAATACAAGGTACGAAAGGATGTAAACAAGATATAAACAACTGCTAACATCCACGGAACCAAGTTCGGATCACTGCACAACAAGGGGTAAAACCCGAAATCGCTATACTTGCACATATATATATATATTTTTCACTACAAAAATTTTGGTTTTTACTCAAAATGCCGTCTCAAAAACTTTTTTGCGATGGCAATTGACTTTTAGCGACGGCAAGTGGGGGGTCACAACAAAGGGCGTTGCTAAAAGTGTTATTTGCGACGGCAAAGATGCCGTCGCGAAAGTGTTTTTATTGCGACGGGATACTTGTCGTCGCTAAAAGGTTATTTGAGACAACACGACATGCCGTCGCTAAAAGATTATTTGCGACGACAAAGAATACCGTCGCGAAAGGTTTTTTGTTTCAACTGTTGCCAATTTCTTTTGCGACGACATTGCTTACGTCGCAAAAAAAATCTGGTTCTAATTTTTTTTGATACGGTGTTGTGCTGTCTCAAAAAAAAAATGTAATAAAATTATTAAAAATATGAAATTACCTGTATTGAATAAAAAATAACTGAAAAGAAACCGATAATTATATAATAATATAAAAGTTCTAGTATAAAAATAACAATGCATCCATAATAAAAATATTCTTCCTTTCATAACAACACACATCAGCAAAATTATCCCACTACATAATGTTGCATAATACATATAAAATGTTTAAATACATAATGTTGTTCACAATTCAAAATAACGTAAATAAAAAACAAAAGTTTTCCTCGTGATTCTTCCGTGGGTAGCAAAAATAAAAGTCAGTCGCAATCTTCACACGCCTGCATTCCACAAGAAGCGAACTGCTACTCAGGAAATATCTGTAAACAAAAAAATAAAAATAATTAATGCCAATATAATTATGTGTTAATATTTTAATTACAAAAAAAATATAAAAAAATTAACTACTATATAATTACAAAGATAATTAAGTAAATAATTTTGGCTAGACAGAAATCCGGCTCTAACTCCCAAACCAGAAACCCGATTGGGGTCTTGTCTTCTCCCACAAGTCTCTCGTGCCTAGGCAGTAATGTGTGCCAAGTTTCGTACAAAACCGACGCCGTTTGGTGATTTTGGGGTGTCAACACCTCGAATTCATATTTCTTAAGGAACTAGTTTGCCTAGACCGAAATCTAGCTCTAACTCCCAAACCGGGAACTCGATTCGAGTCCTGTCTTCTCCCACAAGTCTCTCGTGCCTAGGCGGTTGTGTGTGTGCCAAGTTTCGTGTTAATCCAACCCCGTTTGATGATTTTGGGGCGTCAACACCTCGAATTCAAGTTTCTTAAGGAACTAGTTTGCCTAGAGTGAAATCCGGCTTTAACTCCCAAATCAGGAACCCCGATTCGAGTCCCGTCTTCTCCCACAAGTCTCTCGTGCCTAGGCGGTCGTGTGTGCCAAGTTTCGTGCTAATTCGACCCTGTTTGGTGATTTTGGGGCGTCAACACCTCGAATTCAAGTTTCTTAAGGAACTAGTTTGCCTAGAGTGAAATCCAACTCTAACTCCCAAATCGGGAACCCCGATTTGAGCCCCGTCTTCTCCCACAAGTCTCTGGTGCCTAGGCGGTCGTGTCTGCCAAGTTTCGTTTTAATCCGACCCCGTTTGATGATTTTGGGGCGTCAACACCTCAAATTCAAGTTTCTTAACGAACTAGTTTGTCGAAAGTAAAATCTGACTCTAACTCCCAAACCAGCAACCCGATAGGAGTCCCGTCTTCTCCTACAAATCTCTTGTGCCTAGGCGGTCGTGTGTGTCAAGTTTCGTGCTAAACCGACGCCGTCTGGTGATTTTGGGGCGTCAACACTTCGAATTCAAATTTCTTATGGAACTAGTTTGCCTAGACTGAAATCCGGTTCTAACCCCCAAACCGGGAACTCGATTGGAGTCTCGTCTTCTCCCACAAGTCTCTCGTGCCTAGGCGGTCGAGTGTGCCAAGTTTCATTTGGTGATTTTGGGGCGTCAACGCCTCGAATTGAAGTTTCTTAAGGAACTAGCTTACCTAGAGTGAAATCCGGATCTAACTCCCAAACCGGGAAGCCGATCAGAATCCCGTCTTCTCTCACAAGTCCCTCGTGCCTAGGCGGTTCTGTATGCCAAGTTTCGTGCTAATCCGACCCCGTTTGGTGTTTTGGGGCGTCAACACCTTGATTTCAAGTTTCTTAAGGAACTAGTTTGCTTAGAATGAAATCTGGCTCTAACTCCCAAACTGGGAACCCGATTCGAGTCCCGTCTTCTCCCACAAGTCTCTCGTGCCTAGGCAGTCGTGTGTGCTAAGTTTCGTTCTAATCCAACCTTGTTTGGTGATTTTGGAGCGTCAACACATCGAATTCAAGTTTCTAAAGGAACTAGTTTTCCTAGAGTGAAATTCGGCTCTAACTCCCAAACTGGGAACTCGATTGGAGTCCCATCTTCTCCCACAAGTTTCTTGTGCCAAGGTGGTTGTGTGTGCCAAGTTTCGTGCTAATCCGACCCCGTTTGGTGATTTTGGGACGTCAACATCTTGAATTCAAATTTCTTAAGGAACTAGTTTGCCTAAAGTGAAATCTAGCTCTAACCCCCAAATCGGGAACCCGATTTGAGTCCCGCTTTCTCCCACAAGTCTCTTGTGCCTAGACGGTCGTGTGTGCCAAGTTTCGTGCTAATCCGACTTTGTTTGGTGATTTTGTGGCGTCAAAATCTCGAATTCAAATTTCATAATGAACTAGTTTGCCTAGAATGACATCCGCCTCTAACTCCCAAACTGGCAACCCGATTCGAGTCCCGTATTCTCTCACAAGTCTCTCATACCTAGGCGATTGTGTGTGGCAAGTATCATGCTAATCCGACCCCGTTTGGCGATTTTGGGGAATCAACACCTCGAATTTAAGTTTCTTAAGGAACTAGTTTGCTTAGAATGAAATCTGGCTCTAACTCCCAAATCGGGAACTCGATTGGAGTCCCGTCTTCTCCCACAAGTCTCTCGTGCCTAGGTGGTCGTGTGTGCCCAGTTTCGTGCTAATCTGACCCCGTTTGGTGATTTTGGGGCGTCAACACCTCGGATTGAAGTTTCTTAAGGAACTACTTTGTCTAGAGTGAAATCCGGCTCTAACTCCCAAACCGGGAACCTGATTGGAGTCTCATCTTCTCCCACAAGTCTCTTGTGCCTAGGCGGTCGTTTGTGCCAAGTTTCGTGCTAATTCGACCCCGTTTGGTAATTTTGGGGCGTCAACACCTCGATTTCAAGTTTTTTAAGGAACTAGTTTGCCTAGAGTGAAATCTGGCTCTAACTCCCAACCGAGAACCCGATTCGAGTCCCGTCTTCTCCCACAAGTCTCTCGTGCCTAGGCGGTTGTGTGTGCCAAGTTTCGTGCTAAACCGACCCCGTTTGGTGATTTTGGGGCGTTAATACCTTGAATTCAAATTTCTTAAGCAAGTAGTTTGCCTAGACCGAAATCTGGCTCTAACTCCCAAATTGGGAACCCGATTCGAGTCCTATCTTCTCCCACAAGTCTCTCGTGCCTAGGCAGTCGTGTGTGCCAAGTTTCTTGCTAATCTGACCCTGTTTGGTGATTTTGGGGCGTCAACACCTCGGATTCAAGTTTCTTAAGGAATTAATTTGCCTAGTGTGAAATCCGACTCTAACTCCCAAACCGGGAACCTGATTCGAGTTCCGTCTTCTCCCATAAGTCTCTCGTGGCTAGGCGGTCTTGTGTGCCAAGTTTCGTGCTAATCCGACCCTGTTTGGTGATTTTGGGGCATCAACACCTCGAATTCAAGTTTCTTAAGGAATTAGTTTGCCTAGTGTGAAATTCGGCTCTAACTCCCAAGCCGGGAACCCGATTCGAGTTCCGTCTTCTCCTACAAGTCTCTCGTGCCTAGGCGGTCGTGTGTGCCAAGTTTCGTGCTAATCCGACCCCGTTGGTGATTTAAGGGCGTCAAAACCTCGAATTCAAGTTTCTTAAGAAACTAGTTTGCCTAGAATTAAATCCGGCTCTTACTCCCAAACCGGAAACCCGATTCGAGTCCCGTCTTCTCCCACAAGTCTCTTGTGCCTAGGCGGTCGTGTGTGCCAAGTTTCGTGCTAATCCGACCTCGTTTGGTGATTTTGGGGCTTCAACACTTCGAATTGAAGTTTCTTAAGGAACTAATTTGTCTAGAGTGAAATCCGGCTCTAACTCCCAAACCGGGAACTCGATTGGAGTCCTGTCTTCTCCCACAAGTCTCTCGTGCCTAGCTGGTCGTGTGTGCCAAGTTTCGTGCTAATCCGACCCCGTTTGGTGATTTTGGGACGTCAACACCTTGAATTCAAGTTTCTTAATGAACTAGTTTCCTAGAGTGAAATCTGGCTTTAACTCCTAAACCGGGAACCCGATTGGAGTCTCGTCTTCTCCCACAAGTCTCTCGTGCTAAACCAACGCCCTTTGGTGATTTTGGGGCGTCAACACCTCAAATTCAAGATTCTCGTGCCTAGCCTCTATCCTTTTGGGCTGTGTACAGTTAATTTATGGTTATTCTTAGCTTAGAATGCAAAGATACATTTTATACCTGATCTTCTGGTGGTGGTGTATATGAATTCTCATCTCCTATAGATTCCCTAAATGCTCGGTGACCACTCGATGAATCAGTAACATATGATAGTCAATACATAATGTGTTAATCATATTCGAATTTTATTATACATATGTACATATATGTTGTGTGAAAATTTAACTACCAAACAATTTATTTTATATCAAACCTGTCTGCTGGGATCCACACTCGCCCCCTGTGACACAGAGGCCATTATCTCAGCTCTCATCTGCTGTAAATGTGTAGAGAACTCTGCTCGCATCTCCTCCCTTAACTCCTCCTTTAACTCATCCCTTAGCTCCGCACGAACCTGCTGAGTGATTTGAACAATAGTCGATGGCTGGGGTGTTGACTGTGATGGCCCAGCACCATCTTTATACACCGCTCTCCGAGGCATAGTTCTCTCATATGTGCAACAATATCCATGTCCATCATGACCTATCAACTCATGGAAAATGGCATTCCTAGCCTCCAAAGTCCGACAATCCTCAGGTAGCATGGAGAGTTGACTATTAAACTTATCTTGTATTGAATAAGACATACAAGTATATATGTCAAATTAAGATGGTTGATACACAAAAAGTAAAACATAAACTTTAAATACAATGTTAGGTGTTTGGAAACTACCAAGGTCTGGATAACCTCAGGGTCATCTGCTCTACGTGCCATAAGCCAAACATTCATCTTATCAGCAGACTCCCCTTTATTGGTCATCTAGATTTTTTTGAAACATGAAAATTAGAATCCAAATAATTTGCAAATATACAATGTTTATTTATATACAAAAATAAAACAATAAAACATAAACCTCATACCGTATCTGAGCGAAAGTAGTGCACCCTGTGGTATAAGCTATGCCGTGAGCTCGTCGATTTTTAGCTTTCCTAGTTGCAATTTTCGATAACAGGTTCAACAAATGTAAGTATATAAATATGATTTGTATGTTTACATATCATACATATAACTTATCTGTATACCTCATCATCAGAAGTACGCCAATATTCCACAAGTTCTTCCCACTGGCTTGGCACAATTTGTAAAGGAACATCATCCTTCAAATTAGGATCAGAACTTCTAGGCTTGAAATATTTAGTCTTAATCTTATTCTTGTGATCCTTCCATATGCTGTTACAGGTTTTCATGCAGATTGGCTTATACTCTTCTGGACATATATTTAAATTGTCCTATTCAAAATTTCACTTTACTATTTTAGCTAATCATTTTTTTAATATACAATCCAACAACGCTATATACTTTAGCTATCTTCTATTAAAATATTCGTATACTTTAACTACATTCTTTCCCATCTAAAAAATAAAAATAAAAAACTTCTTTCAAATTATTTTTTTTTCTTTTAAATATAATTATATTTTTGTGAAAGTTACATTTTTCTACTGTCGTATTTTTCAAACGGTCATATTTTTTAAACGGTCATATTTTTTAAACGGTCATATTTTTATAACGGTCGTATTTTTCTAACGGTCATATTTTTTTACTTCTTAGTTATAAATAAGACATTCCCTCTCATTTGATCTTACCATTAAACTCAATTTTCTACTTCATCCAAACTTCCATATCTCTCTCTATGGCTTCCAATTCTCTTTACGATATGCTTGTAAATGACTCTGACTTCTCTGAATCTGATGATGATTTAGAGATGCTCAAAGCTATTATTATGGATGAAGAACTACTAGATAGTGAGATAGGATCAAACTCACGTCGTGGTTCTATTTGAGGTTGTAAAGTCATTCATCGTGACCATATTCAAGGTCATGAAAGGCTTTTTCTCCATTATTTTGCTAAATCACTTGTATATCCTCCTGAGCTATTTCGAAGGAGGTTTCAGATGAAGCGTTCATTTTTTCTTCGAATTCAAGCTGCAATAGAAGCACACGATCCATACTTTCTCCAAAAAAGAAATTGTGCTGGAAAGCTTGGTTTGTCTTCTCTTCAAAAGATAACTGTTGCACTTAGGATGCTTGCTTATGGAGTAGCTGCTAATTTTATGGACGAATATGTGAGAATCGGAGAAAGCATTTCAATAGAAAGCTTAAAATATTTTGTTAAAGCAATTGTTGATATTTTTTCTAATGAGTATTTGAGGTCACCAAACAGCAATGACATCGCTGAACTGCTAGCGGTTGGTGAAAGTCGTGGATTTCCTTGGATGCTGGGGAGCATTGATTGCATGCATTGGAAATGGAAAGGTATGTACACTGGACACATTCATGAACGAATAATTATTTTGGAAGCTGTTGCATCATATGATCTTTGGATTTGGCATGTGTTTTTTGGATTACCTGCGTCTCGTAATGATATCAACATGCTAGAAAGGTCTTTTGTATTTTCCAAACTTGCTCAAGGACGTGCTCTTGCAGTTAATTACACCCTCAATGGTAATGAATATACAATGGGATACTATCTCGCCAATGGTATATATCTACAATAGTCAACATTTGTGCACACAATTCCTTCTCCTCAAGGAAATAAGAAAAAACTTTTTGCTGCAGCTCAAGAGGCGACAATAAAGGATATAGAACGTGCATTTGGAGTGCTTCAAGCACGATTTGCAATTGTGCGTCGATCGACATGTTTTTGGAATACTAAAATGCTTAAATATATTATGAAGGCGTGCATAATTCTACCTAATATGATCAGTGAGGATGAGCCGGATGACAATGGAGTAAAAGACTTCAATTATGATCAAATCGATGACAGTCCCCATGTAACGGTGTCACAGGAAAGAACTATTGAACTTATGGAATTCATTCAATGTCATCGTAACATTAAAGACAGGCAAACAGATTCTCATCTCCAATTGAACCTTGTCGAACACTTGTGGCAATTACACAATAAGTCGTAAAAGCTTTGAATTTGAAGTTTCATTTTATGTAGTATGTTATTAGTTTTCAGTGCAATCGGTATATGCTTTTGATTTATGTATAATTTTATAATTCTATATGCCTTTTAATTATATGGTTTTCATTTTAATTATATGCCTTTATATATATATATAAATAATTAGCAATGCAGAGAAAATACAGCACATATGATGTTTGGAAATATGGTGTTAATGTTTCAACCTTGGCAAGTGATAAAAAATAGGTAGAAGAACTTCAATCAAACTCCTCAAAGGAGATTAAAGAAAGGGGAAAAAATGGCTACACAACTAGTAAAATAATAGCAAAAACAACACAAAATAACAGCAAAAACACCAGCAAAATAGTAGCAAAACAACACAAAAATAGCAGCAAAAATAGCCCCAAACAACAGCAAAACAACCCAAAAACTCCAGCAAAATAGCAGCAAAAACAGATTAAAAAACAGCCCAAAAATGACAGCAACACATTACAAAGAGCAGCAGAACGACACAGCACAAACAGCATCAGATTAGACAACTAACAAAACATTGCTGAGTTCAACATCTATCCTAGACAAAAGTAGATCCAAAAGCAATACTAGACAAAAGTAGAACCAAAATACCATATATCAAGTTTCTAGCCTACTAGACAAAAGAGAAAATACCATCAGGAGCAAAGAGAGAATGAATACTAATTCATTCTTCTTTTCTTAATTATTTCCATCTGCCGAGCACGATAAAATTCTTGTTGGACTTCCGGCAAGCCACTGAGATCCATCAAAATAACTCTTTCGTCCTCTTTGAAAAGTTCCACCTCATACTTTTCTTGCATGATACGAAGTTCCACTTGTTTTTGAACGTATACTTTGTCAATTATTTCAATTTTCTTGTCAATCATTTTCTTGTTGTCTTCCTTGATGTCCTCCAAAGTCTTTGTAATACTCAAATGTACACTTTCTTTGTTCTTTCATTTATTCAATCGCTTCTTTTCAGCCTTCCCACCAGTTGGTCTCTCCAAATCTACAAAAGCATTAGGTAAGACATCGTCTTCCCCTAGATTTATCGAATCTGGAGTACAAGGAGAAGAGGTTGTCCCTGTTCTTGGTCTTTTTGGTTGGTTTTTCTTCTCAGACTCTCCCACCCATTTTGGTTGATCCCTTAAGATAATCCAACAGTGTTCGAATTGGAATGCAGATTTCTTGAGTTCCTTGTACATAATTTTCGCCTTGCAAATCTGAAAATTAAATAAATAAATAATATTTAGCAGCTTTACAAATAATAATAATTGTAAATGTAGAATATTCAATATCTTGTCATCCTCATTTATGCCACTTTGATGCAATGATTCAATTTGGGTGTAGCACCCACAAAACTTATTTATGGCAAGCTAAATGGTTGACCATCGATTCATAAGGGAATTGTCATTTTGATTAGACTCAAATTTCTTGTGCTCATGGAAAAAATCCCACACTCTTTTCCAATAGGTTGAGCGTTTTTGCTCATTCCCGTGTACCGCATCTAAACTAATATTAAGCCAAGCCGATACATGGAGTTTGTCTTTTTCTATTGTGCAGTTTCCTCCACGTTGAGGTTTCTTCAACAAATATTCAATTTCAGCAGTAAATTGAGACTCCTGGGCAAAGACTTGAGTATTTTGATTCAAATATTGAGATTTCTTCAGATAACGTTCATCAATGTTAGGCCTTTCTTGTAAAAGATTAGTAAAGTAACCATCTTGTTGTGCATCCATACCTATGATTGAATAATATATAAGAATTAAGAAAACTGTAATAACCCGACCCTCATACATGTTCTTTGTTATATTTTCGGATCCTATTTTGTGATTTTGGATGCTTATTGTGTAATTCCATGAGAAATTAGGGATAAGAAAGTTAACTCCATGTTTAAAGCATATGTTTAAGGATGTCTATCTGTTCAACAAGAAAAGTATCTGTTACATTAGAAGGTTTGAATCGAAATTGGAGGCCTTCAAGGCTTAATTATCTGAAATTGATTTTAGACATGTAATCAGCATAATTTTTAGGTAATATTAAGCATTTTTGGGAAATTTCAATTTCGGATGTTTAAACGATTGACTTTTGTCTTATTAGCTCTTATATATATATATATATATATGTTCTTGGAACCTTGGACTTAGTTCAACACATTTCATGGGAAGGATAGAGAGAGTAAGAATAGAGAGAAATGAGAAGGGAGTTTCAATAAAGGCTAGAGATTGAATAACCTAGAGAGACTTTGGGAGATCTCAACTCAAGGTAAGTTTGTCTAACTTTTATAATTCCTCTCTTGAATTTGAGGGTGATACAACCATGATAATTGAACCCAAGGTGTAATTGGATCATGTTTTATCCATTGGATGAGTTTGAACTAAGTTGCTTATGTATGTATGTGGAGAAATTAGCTTTGATTTCTTACTTTCTCATGAAAGATCATGAAGAACTTACCATATATATATATATATATATATATATGTGATGGTATATGTGATGTTGATGAAAAAGGAAATTTGATTATAGTTAAGGATTCAAGAATTAGTGTTTATCTAGTTTAATGTATGTATTTGAAGCCTTTGTAACATGAATTTTAGGCTATGGATTGTCAACTAAAAATGTTAAATTGAGCCTTGTGAGGATGTACCAAAAGATTGGGATTTTGTAAGAATTTCGGACAATTTTGAGCAGAATCGCACGTGCGGGAGTCATGGCCGCACGTGCGGGAAATGGTGAAAAACAGGGGCTTGGCCACTGTCTAAAAGGCACGTGCGGGGCATTTTGCCACACGTGCGGGAGAGCTTGCCGCACGTGCGGGGCTCACAGCCGCACGTGCGGCCCATGTTGAAAAACGTGGATCGCTCCGTTTTGCGGGTAGAACCCTCTAATGTTGTCGGAATATGTCTTTGATGCCTTTTAATATGTATAAATTCCTTCGAAGTGGAATGCAACAGAAAGTAAAATGATAAGCAAAATGAACTAATGAGCAAGTTTTGAACGTGTGCAGGACACACCCTGGGAGGAAGTAAGACGTCATCTCGACACTGTGAGTAGTAGTACTGTCGTAGTATGCTTTATTCACAGCTAATGGTCACCATGAACACTCTGTTAATTGCAGGTTAACTATGTTAACGCACACGAACGATGATGAAATAAATGTGTATGCTTCTGATTAGTAGTTAATATTCATAGTCTATCCTCCGTAAGTGAACTATGTCGTGCTTAATGAATAAAAAGGAACTTAGGGTCATTCTTGAACAACGATTTTGATGTGAACATTGAAAGATTTTGGCGTACATCGGTACGACTCTGAACCTACCTTGCATTTTAGTTAAGGTCCATGATCATCGTTAATGTATCAACTTGTAAGTTACCCATGATTCCATATAAGAATTGCATACACACTGTTAACACTGTGAAGTTGGTTGTTCTGACCTATTAATGTAATGATATCTTTGTCTTCGGGTCATCGTTAAAATGAACGTTCTGCTAATTGCAAGACAAGTATGTCGATTTGCAATGAACCAATGAACCATGAGGAAATCTAAACGCATCATTAGGTCATACGTTGTTTATTGTTAATAGTTAATGTTAACATTCTGTTATCTGCGAGTTAGCAGTATTGGTTCATGACAAGAAAATGGAATGTAGGTACACTATGGTATAATGGTAATCTGAAGAACTGAGAATGCCCTGTTTCTATTTATCCGTTCTGTTTCGGCTATGTTATGACATGATATGACTGATTCAGGGAAACAGTGTGAAGCTATGGAAACATCAAAAGAATTTGTGAAGTTATGAATCTATGTGAATGTGTGAACCCATCAGGCCAAGGGCCACTCTGTGAATGTGTGAACCTATCGAGTATGGAACAAAGTGCTGTACGGAACTAAGTGCTGCCATGCGAGTTATCTCTAGAATCCGTACGAGCCACCTCTTGAGTCCATCATACATATGTGAACTAGGCTTAAAGCAGATGTGAAAGTCATGAGGCCTATGGCCGTTCTATGAAAGTTGTGAAGCTTATAGCTGTTCTGTAACATTTATGAGGCCTATGGCCAATTTGTGATATCCGGGCCTATGGCCATTCTGTATGATCCGTTAGTATGAAACAAAGTGCTGTACGGAACTAAGTGCTGCCATGCGAGTCACCTATAGAATCCGTGCGAGCCACCTCTTGAGTTCATACATACATGATAAGGGCTTTATGCCATTCTGTTAAGGGCTTTATGCCATTCTGATAAGGGCTTTATGCCATTCTGTTAAGGGCTTTATGCCATTCTGATAAGGGCTTTATGCCACTCTGTTCAAGGGCTTGAAACCATTCTGTTTAAAGTTAACACTGGAAATAATTATAGGATAAGTTAACTATATGCTCTCTGCACTTATACATGTCCATTGCCATTCACGTTAAATGTTAAATTGTTTATGTATTACTATTCACTGAGCTTAGCTCACTTTATGCTATGTCTGTTTCTGTAGGCGCTCCACTTGGAGGTCAGTCTTAACCCATGGCTTTCATTCCTCCTTGGTCAACCTCAGAGTGTCCAGGCACCAAAATGAAGGCAGCTCATTTTACAAAGTTTTGTTAAGCTTTTAGTTTTGTACCCTGATGGTCTGCTTAAGGTTAAAGTGTATATAATTCTTTTACCCTCCAATGTTTCTGTTATACACCAATCTTGAGGGCTGGGTCTGTATATGTGTAACGCCCTCAAAATAAACCCATAATATATTTATCATTGACATGCTTTATTCAAAGAAAACAATTCATTATCTCATTCATCAGAGTATTACCAAATAAACGCGTTACATGTAACATCAATTTAAATGCCCTACGGGCTTTCATCTTTCCAAGCCAACACTTGGACATAAAATATGAGTTCTAACTCAAATACAATTAAAGCCCTAGGCTTGAATGTTTACATGTAATATCAAATAAGTAAATAACAACTAAACTAAACAGAGTCTTCAACTCCAATTCCTTCCAAGCTA